AACTCATAATTGTTAATTAATACATTTTCGATCTGGTAGAGTGTGCAGAATGTCATTCTAAGAAGAAATCTGGCGAGCTGCACCAAAACCGTGACGGCCTTACTATGGCCAGCGGAGAGGAGGAAGAAGGAATGGAAATATAACAATTATAGGAAATATTACAAGTGCTTATCTGTATACATATACTATTATATTATGACACATCTTCTTATATTTACATTGAATATATATGCATGCACCTGTACAACTTGAAAAAATGCACATGTCTGTATATACGTACGGCTATAGAATAATAATAAAAAAACTATAAAGCCTACATGTATATATAGATAAATAGATAGATATAAATACTAGTCAGTACGCATTGCATGTGCATGCATGTATAAAACTAATGCGGTTACAAAATTCTAGCTGTAAGCTAGAATTACATATGATAGAGTCAAAACAGGGATTTGTAGCTTGAGTAAATAATGTCCACACTATCTCTAGCCTTGTATGCTTATCTTGTTTACTATCCCTATTTGTTGGTTTTTAAATTCCCAATTTTTTATTTATCTTGTGTCTGAAATCTTAAGCTTTTTTATTTTTTATTTAAGCTATCTATCTTGTTTCTGTATTTTTTACGATCCCTATTCCCCTTTTTCAATTAACTATTTTTAATAATCTTGTGCTATTATGAATATAGTATTTATTATATTGAAAAAAAAAATACTAACATTTGGTTCACACATACTGGATACTAAATACTCATAAGTGCTTCTGAGTGAAAGTGAAAAAAGTGTGAATAACAATATGTCAACTACATTATATCTGTGCCAGTGCCGACGTCGTCTGTGGCCCAAATCATGGCTCTTCAGGCCGGCTAGGATATGACAAACACTCGTTATATTAACAACTTACATGACAACTGTTACCGTGTGAGGTGGATTAGTGGTTGGATGTTTTTGCAATTCGATATCACAACAGGAATTAGATTAAGGATTTTTAACACCATATTATTTATGTATTTTAACACCATATATTAATTAGTATTTTCTACAATCAACCTGCTCATTATTCAGAAAAAATGGCGACCCAGTAAGCTAGTCTTCTTGATAACATAAAGGCAAGAGTTGGTTACGGTGATTTTGCTAAAACACTTGTTTTTCATTCTGTTGTTGGGTATAAACAAAAGGTAACAGTTAAGTACTTTATTTTTATTAAAACTAACACGTAGTCCTTATGGTGCACGTAGAGTAGTTACAATAGTTTTATAAAATATATATTTGCTTCTGATAGTGAATACCGAGTAATCAGTTGGTTATAGTAATTTTGCTAAAAAAACTAATATTTGACCTTAACGGTGGGAATAAGAGGTTGAATAAAAATATAGGTTTAGTATTAAAACTAACAGATAACTCTACTGATGAGTACAGATGTAGGATAAGCTGTGGGTTGCAACAATTTTATTTAATGTAACCTTTGGTTTTAGTAGTGGTATGCTAAGATGTTATTGAAAGTAGTTTTACTAAAGCTAACATTCGATTATTATGGTTGTTATAGACGTAGGATAAAGAACTAAATTTATTCCGATGACAGTTATAGAGGTAATGGTTGAGAGATAGTTACAACAGATTTACTAAATTAATATGTGGTTTTAATGATGGTTATAGGTTTAAGGGTTGAGAGATGGTTACAATATATCTACTAAATTAATATGTGGCTCTAATGATGGTTATAGATTTAAGGGTTGAGAGATGGTTACAATAGATCTACTAAATTAATATGTGGTTCTAATGATGGTTATAGATTTAATGGTTGAGAGATAGTTACAACAGATCTACTAAATTAATATGCGGTTCTAATGGTGGTTATAGATTTAAGGGTTGAGAGATGGTTACAATAGATCTACTAAATTAATTTTTGTTTCTAATGGCGATTATAAAGATAATCGTCGAGATTTTTTTACAGCAACTTTACTAAACTAACATTTTGTTCTGATGATAGCTATAGAAATAAGGGCAAAGAGTTGGTTACAGTAGTTTTACGAAAAACAAACATTTGATTCTGATTATAGTTATACGAATAAGTGTAAAGAGATTATTACTGTAGTTTTACTAAAAACTAACATTTGATTCTGATGGTGAGTACAAAATTGGTTAAAGTAGTTTGTTTGGAAACTAGGATTGGGTTCATACACTGAATTGTGTAATAAGAGATAGAATTATTTACCGAAACTTTGACAACTTCTAAAATTGATCGTAAGTCGATATTTCTTTAGCCATTTTTAAATCTTACAAAAACTGAAGATTTTACGGATGTTTGTTTCGTTTCTTAATTTTATTAAAAATAAATTTAAAACAAGACATATGTAAACATAAGAGCAAATATATGTATTTTTGTTTGGTTTTATAATGTATATATTGTGTTTTTACCTGAAAATTTGGTAAATTTTTCGTCGCTTGTTTTGCTTTATCTAAATTCTTCTTCTCTACCAGCAGGTAAACAGAACTAGTTTGTTCCAACCTAAAGCGAAGTTCCTCTAATAAAAAAACAGCATGTTTCGTTAGTTTGGGCCATGTTCAGGGTAAGAATCGAACACTGAAATTTCATATATCAGACAAAGGTTTTTTACTAAGTAGCTGATTGCCAAAATAAATATAATATTATTTTTGTATTGAAATATTTAGAATAAACATGTGCGATAAAAACAACAGCACGAAAACATAAATATTTTCTAAATATCATCTAGGACTTATTCAGTTTCATGTTTTCCAGGAATTCCAGAAATGTATTAATGTAGTAACTTCCTCAATTATCTATTAATTATATGTATGAGTTATCTATATCTAAGGAGTGAATTAGGTTAGATGTGTATATTATTGAAAATTATCTATTAAACCCTCAAGTTATCGACCTTTTCTTATTCCGTTCACTACTTGTGAGGGTTAACATATTTCAGTACATTGATCAGTTTTCTATTTTTGACAGAAAATATTAGACGAAATCATTCGTTTTTATGTAAACTACGTGAGGTACCTCAGCAATAATTGGTGTTATTAACTGTTACAATTACGATATTTCTATTTAAATGTTATATGTGGTTGTGACTCCGATGTTATTAGAGACCCTAAAATAGACATATTCATACGAGTAAGAGCATTTTGGTGTAAGAATAGTTTGGAAAAATGTGTTTAAGATGCCCTTGGGATTCACAGTTCCAATAAGAAACTTTAGAATTAACTGTTGGTTTTGCACATGAATTAAACTTAATTACCTAAAGTAAACATTGTCTGTTCTTACAGTTCTGTAAATGGTTTTGTTAGAATAGCCAATAAATTGTTTCTTTGATTTTACTAGAACTAACCATTGTATTAACTAATATGTGTGGCTCACCAAGATGATTGACCATTTTAAACAAAATAATTCTCTAACAAACTAAAAGATTAAATCAAAAGTAACTGAAATTTCTAACTCATATATTGTACATAATTTAATTTAGATTCAACGCGGACAAGTTTGTTAAAAATGCTCAACAAACTAATGTACCTGCTTTATCCATGGGTTTTCCCAAAGTAATGATTGCTCCTGCATTCATTGCTCCTAATGCCGCGGCCGCATAATCAATGTTATTAGCGGTGCAAATGCAAAATACATCCCCTAGTTTTAGACCACGTCGTATGAGGGCGCTAGCAAATCGTCTGCTGCTCAGGAGGACATTTTGGGCAGTATAAAAACGAGATTTGTCGTGCGAAACCTGCAAATAAGGAAATTCGAGATTGTTAAAAACGCTTTTTAAGTGATTTTGAAAATTGAAAAACAAAGTTTACCTTATTAACATTGACATTTGAAAATAATAGCTGATCATAAATAGGACTTTTGTTTCAAGAGGCTCGATGAAGTTTCAGTGATAGTTGGTGGCCAAAACAGTGGTAATATTATAATTCTTCTTTTATCTGTAACTTTGTCAATTTTAAACAAGCAGACATTATTTCGCCATAGCTGTATTTATCTATTATTTCTTCACTTCAATATTATTAATTGTTATTTTTAAAGTATATTTTGATATACATATTATCATGTAAATGTATTATATTACTAAGGAGTTACTACGAGAAATAAAAAAACAAACCAAATATAATCTTAAATCCTTATAGCTGTAACAAAAACTTTGCTTGACGATTTTGTTCCTATCGGGAGAGAAAGTTAAAATTGCATCACATTGTGCAATTTTCTATTTTTGACAAAAACTATTGGACAAAATCGCTAGGTTACGGCAGTTTTTCTAATAAATCTTATAAAATACATTTTATTGGTTGGTGTAAGGCAAGGCTAAGCATTTTTATTAAAACTAACACTTACTTTATGATGCAAATAGATTAGTTACAGAAGTTTCATAAAATAAGTAATTGCTTCTAAGGGTAAATACAGAAGCAAAGTAAAAAGGTGGTTACAGTAGTCTTGGTTACTGGTATTAGTACTAGACCAACAATACTTTTTTAAGGCAAAACTACATGATGTGTTATCTTCATTCTACCCACCTCAAGGAATCGGATAGTAGCATTCGGAAACTTCCCATTGACTCAATGGGTACTTAACGATACTTAGAATTAAAATTTATATCTAAAAAGGCCAATTAATTCAATTTTCGACTTACAATTACAAAGGCAGATATAAAGACTAGTTGTTGTTCAAGAAGCAACTCGATAGAAGTGGACAACACTATTTTGTTGCTCTATTTCTTCGCCTTTTAAATTTTTCTCCAAAGAAATAGGTTATAATATATATATATATATATATATTTGTATATATATCATTTATTTGGATTTGAAAAATTTGTATTCTTAGTTAGTTCTAAAATATATATAGATGTAAAAGAAAAATATTTTATTGCTATAAAATATTATTATTTCTTTACTAACACTCTTCTGCTTAGATTGAAGTAAGGTCAAAATAAAATCACACAATATGCGATATCATGTCTTTTTTCACTATATTTGAGATTATGGTATATATATATATATATATAACACCACAAATCTTTCTTTTTCATATTTCTTCCCATCTAACAAATGATTTAAAAATTAGAGATCTATGATACTGTTTAGTTAAAGGAAGGAGGCGTTGAATTAGAACATTCTTTTTTTCTGTTCTCTTAAAAAGTCGGTAAATATAAATAAATCAAAACTGCTTCATTAGTTGAAATCAATATTTTATTTTCAGGACTTAAAATGAATTAAACTGGTTACAAATAAAAAACCCATTAAGTACGGTTATATCAAGAAAGAAATATATTTCGTGAGTTCTAAATAACATTTCATTTATAAAATTTGATAGAAATTTTTCTAAAGTTATACATTTGTACACTTATTTCTGTTAAAGCTCATTACATGAACGAAAGTGTTCTTTAACGAGTATTTTGTCTCTGACGTGAACGCAGTTTTCTCAAGTCAACAATGTGAATTAGTTGTAAGAAATATTGTAAGCTTACCACTAATAGTTTTTCATCGTATTTCTCTAATGCCATCGTGAAAAATTCTGTCACGGAAATGTTGGGTATATCAACTGCGGCCCGAGGAGAGCGAAGAATTTTGTCTTCTGATGCTAGACAATTAATATCCATTTTATATATTTTTAAAAACGCGCTGCTTATCTTTAGAAAAGAAGAAAAGTACACAAAGTTTTGTTTTATATAAACCAAATTCACGGCACGGAACGGCTGCGAAACGTTCGTTACGTGCTACTTCTTCAAGAAATGTGGAAAATGAATAATCAACTGTTACATATATATATGACGCAGACCACGTGAGATTTGAAGACTGTAAAGTAGGGTTGTCTATTGCTGACAACATGTGTCATTATAACCTACTTAAATACTTATATCTTTTTAACGTTTCGATCCAAAGTCCGAAACAAGCGACATCCAGCTTATGTTTTTACTTAGTTTTATAAGTGTCTTTCGAATCGGAAGTACAGATAAGTTTGATAGAATTTGAAGGAACCTGGCTATATAGTTGAATAAGTCTTGGACCGTATGCTTATTTCTTTGCTTTATAATTTAAGTTACTTACAGTTTTGTTTGCTTAGAATATTCGCACAAAGATAAACAAACTATCTGTGCTCTGGCAGTTTCTAAGTTCGAGGGTTAGATAAAAGGTAAAACTAGCTATTCAACTGCAACCACTGCCAGTTCTTGTGCTAGTATTATCAGATCGAATTTAACAATTTATCTTGTAAAGTGAAGTGTGGAGCGCTATTTTACTGCAATGGTACACAAACCATAGACACTTGGATACACAATCCGGCCTGTTAATACTATTCAATGTCCTGGCAAACATGCTTGCTATTCAATGATGCCCTAAGTGTTTTTAAGTATTTTGAATAGAAACTTCCTTGTACAAGCCACGTGAAAACCGTCTTTGTGAAGTAGTTGTGATACAAGTTATTACCGTTGTACTTTATGCTATTCATATTTTAATCTAGAAGTTTTGGTAATATTTACTAGATGAAGGTTTTGCATAACGTAGTGATGATGCGTGACGTCAATAAGTTTCTTGAGTGTCTATATTTGACGCGAATTCTCGAATTTTCATAAGAGTTTAAAGTTATCCCTAAATGTTCTATTTAGTCAAAGCAAGATGTACATTCAAATCTTAGGTTTTACGATTCTTTTAGTGGAGAAAACTTGCGATAATTTATAGTCTCTTCCTCTTACAACATTAAAACGTACTAACGATTACAACTTTGAAAAAAAAATGTTCTAGAAAAGGAGTTTACATATTTTAGCAAACACAGAAAAAGTTAAGGATGTTAAGTTATAGAACAAATAAAAAAGCAGTCCTGACCATGACAGTTTTCATTTGTTTATGCTTTTACAAAGTAGAGAGCGAGATTACTCGGCAAAGAGTTGCAAGTCATGAATCCTCTAAATATATATATATATATTATTCACAATTGATAGCGAGAGACTGATGGCAACTGATAAGAATGTATTAGGATTTGGAGAATTTAAAGATTGGCAATTTTCTACTATTTTGGTTATATTACTTTTTAAAAAACAAACAACCTGAAACTTAAATATGAATGATTGACAGTTGTGTATTATTTAAAATTTAATAAATAATTAAAACCAACGTTTCATATTTACACAAGTTTAAAAACTTAATTGAAGCCGTCAACGGCTTCCACTTTAAAAATACACTCTACATGTACAATATTTCGACGTCCTCTACGTTGTCTTCAGGACTTATCTGCAAGACATACTAAAATTTATGCATTTTTTCCTGCTATGTGATATTACATTGTCTTTTGTATTTACATAATTCCTTACTCAACTTTTATATTACATCATGACAAATATCAATGCTTTGACTTGATGATCCTTCATCTCTGTTTAATACTTCTTTTTCAGATTTTATTATTTATAGTAATTTTCTGACATTCAAAGCTGTAATATAACGTGGTTGAGCTGAAATTGTAGTTTTTCCCATAAAATTTTATGTTGTGTTGTGTTGTTTTTACATGTTCTGCAATAGTCGAGTTTTCAATTTTATTATTTCTTACGTAACCTTTATGTTCCTGTAATCCGTATTTTAAATTCCCTTTAGTTTGACCAATATAAATACTCCTGCATTCACATTCTGTTTTGTAAATACCAGTTTTGTCTTCTAATTCTATTTTATCCTTAGTATTCTCCAATATTTCCGTAATAAACAAACAAACAGTACAATAACTAAATCTTAATTTAATTGAGAGTCTTTCTGATGAACTTGAACTTCTCATTCGCTATGGTAATATTGTACCAACCTATGTAAAGTAATTGTAGAACTTATTCCTGAGCTGTAATCTAATAATGCACTTTGCAGCACCTTGTTTTGCATATAGGAAAATTAAAAATAGGGATTGTCAAAAAAGTAAATAAACAAATTAGGCTGGACAAACAGCTAAATAGTTAATTAGTAAAAGTTTCTTACTTAAACCTTCTTGTCTTGAACATACTTTAAAGCTCTGTAGCCATACGTATAAGATGCAGAGATGTTTTTGCGTTTTTAATCTGAAACTTAATTGATTTTAATTAAAATTTGTGAAATATTTGAGATTATACTTTGATCAATCGATGGGCGGGGTTGTTTAAAGTTAAAGATTAAGCTCATAGTACATTGACCCTATATGTAATAAAATAAAGTTTTTCTTAGTTTTACACTTGTATAGAGAATGAACTTTGATCAACCACGTTTGCTAAACACCGATGAAACACTGCGAAAAATCTGAAATATTGTAGTAAATTTAACTAGCCTTGAATCAAAGGTTGAAGATCAGTGTTGATTGAAAATCTAATAAACAGGACGGTGGTTTGTTTACGTAGATGACTTTACACTCGACTCGACTGTCCAAAGCTTTGGAACTTCACTCAACATGTGTTTAGACCTAAAACGATGAGAGGGAACATCATACAAATTAACTATAAAAGCCATATATACTAAGTGAACAAATCGTATCGAGGTTTTATCTCTTATTCTCTGGAACCTGACGTACTTTTTACTTGTTATATATTGACCAAAAACATTTAAAAACACTTTTGACTCCTCTGTCGTACTTTGATAGACTGTATTTGTATTTAGATGTCCCAATCATTTATCTTTCTCTCGCGTCAGATCAGTGACGATGTTGTATTTATTGCCAGTTTGTTTAAGTATATTTCAATTAGAAATTTTCTTAATGATTAAACAGTCGAATTCTATAAAAAACAAAATCAAGTGAGCTCATTTCATTAAATCACCACATTTAAATTCTGTTTAAGATATTCTTCATGTGTAATAAGGGTGTTCGAAAATGTTTTCTTAAAACGTTACTCTTTATAAAGTGGATAACGTATAAATCTCAAGCTGTTAACCTATTCAAACAAGATATTTATAATACTTTGACTGAACAGGGCATACAGGAATTCTCACGCCAGTTTGGTTGGTTTGATAATACTTGCTGATGTGGTGTCTTAAGACCTGAGTTTTGTAGAGTTTATTAATTTGTTTTTTTGTTTCTGTTTTGTAGTTTTAATGACGTCGAAGATAAGGTAGTTTGTTAAAATCGGAAATAAACATATTTTACTTATCGTGCAGTAGAGAAATTACATAGGTAGTTCAATAAAGTGAAAACGGAGAGTACAATACCCGTTAAAGTATACTATGCTGGCAGGAATATAAAAAGCCTGATATATTAATAGAATAATTATTAACGTACATGCTAGTTGTTTATGGGATAGCTTCCTGGAAAAGATGAATGTAATGGAATAATTAGTTTGTTTGTTTGCAATTAAGCACAAAGTTAGGCTATCTGTGCTCTGCCCACCACTGGTATCGAAACCCAAATTCTAGCGTTGTAAGTCCGCAGACATACCGCTGTGCCACTGGGGGGGGGGCAGGCAATAATTAGAAGGAAATGAAATGCCCATAAAAGAAGAACGATAGACAAGCGAAAAAGGCTTCTAATTTTTCTTCTTTTTCGATTCGAGTTCAAATGCTGAACCTTGAAACTCTTTATTTAATACTTTTTTTTAGAATCAATTGATATCTGTAACTTTAATCAAGTTTCCAATAATTAAAAAAACAAATGTCGTTGGTTAGTATTTGACGTCCGGACTGAGAATCGAAGTCAAATAATGTTTTTTAAATATATTCATCTCTTAAAGCTTGGATAAATGTTAACTTCTGACTACCGTGCTAGCTCAAAACCTTACATTTACGAAAATTTTACTTATCATCCTTTTATTGAGGCAAATCGCATATTGCTTTTTTTTCAGATCCAGTTTTTATACAATTATATGGTCAATTGAATTTTTTCCAGTCCAACCAGTCTTACTCGAGTCATGGTTGATCTCTGATAATGTTTTAATAAGTTTGAATTTATAAAGGATTCTTTTTCGACTAATAACAGGGATGGGTAATATCGTTAGAATTTTCGTTCTCACGTTATAATACAGACACGGTTAAATCAGGTTTTGGAGTTATTTCATTCACTCTCCTAGAGATAATCTGTATGTGGTCATAACTCTGATTCTAAGTCTTATAAGTCAATTTGGAGGTCCATACAATGTTTTAATAAAGCTCTTGAGCTAATTGTTGACAAGTCCAGAATGCGGTATAGGAAAACGAGCAATGATTTGCTGTAGTTACTGAAACTCTTCTTGACGTTTTTCTGTGGATCTATTTGAGGAAAGTGTTTTTTAAATTTTCGTGAGCGAATCTGATGTTCTTGAATACTTAGGAGACATATAAAGATCCAATATCTTGCAGCTGCCTGTTATAAGAAGGATAACTTTACACAGTATAACTTGTGCCATGCCATAAGTCTAGCAAAAATGTTTAACTTAGCCCCTTAGTAGAAACTGTTTTTCCTATAAGGGCGTGTCTTCTCTGAAGGGAAAACTAGAGCGCTGTAGATCTCCCTCTGTTAGTGTTGGAGTTTATGAGCTGGATTTGTTCTACTAGTTTCTCATAGCGTGTCATTCCATAGCTACACAGCTAACTGGGGAACATGTTGTAGCGATACCTCTGGATGATGAAATGAAACAGAAAAGTCAAGTGGAAAAACGTCACAGCCTCGGTAGAGTAGCCTGCTACAGTTTTAAGTCACAACTCAGAAAGTATATAGTGTATATAGTATGACTGAAAACAAACCTTTAAACCCTATCTATCAACATATATATATAT